GTGAGGTGGTGAGCCCACCCACAGGATCGACCCAAGGGGATCGACCTGCTCTGATAGCATGAAAAGATTAGGAGGTAGAGAAGTTTAGAATGAAGAAGAAGAGAGGGTTCACTAGAAAGCAGCAGGATACATATAGGAAACCCTAAGGGGTTGTACTCGCTATAGAGTACCCCACTGCAGGCTAGAGAACAATGACATTCTGACAGGCGGCAGCTCGGATCGGTTCAAGACTACACGAGCGGATTTCTCGCATTATGCGAGCAAGTCGGCTATATGCACGAAGCGGAGCGGGTGGACCGTTACGTCGGAGGGCTAAAGCCGAACATCTCGCACGAAATTATGCTACGCGGTCTCTCGAATTTCAACGAGATCCTCGCGCTCGCCGAGAAAATCGATATCCTACGATGACCGAGACCGGGGTCCTACTACGGACAACGCCCTCGGGGACCGATCGAGCACGCCGATCGTACACGCAGTTGCGACAAATGCAGCTGCCGCACCGTTTAAGGGGCGCTGCTTTGCTTGCAATAGGCTGGGCCATCGCAAGAGTGAATGCCCAAAGGAGCTGAGGCGCCGCGGAACAGAGCAGGGGCGAGAGTCTCAGAGGCTGGGAAACGCCAGCAGTCAGTAGAAGTTGGGCCAACTACTGACGAGACTGCTTGCTCGCCCAACTTCACCGACCCTCACCGAGTCACAGTACCGATTCACGCTATCGATCAGGCTCGGACGAATAAGGAGGGTACAGCGACGGATTGCCCAGTACTGATTCACGGGAAAATACAGGGAGCAGCAGTGAAGATTTTTATAGACGGGGGCACAAGCCTTAGTTTAGTTAACACCGCGACTGCAAGGAAGTTGCGACTGGCACTTAGTCGGTGTTTACCGGAGATCGATGCACGTTTAGTTGACGTAACGCCGCTGGCCATATAAGTAGAGAGAAAAAGTCCGCTGTGGGGGAAACTTCGGGTTTACACAGGAAATGCTCGCGACGACATTGGATGGGCACGACATTTTACTATGACGTGATTGGCTGCGACGGTACAACCCGCGAATCGAGTGGACGAAGGGTAGCTGCACTGTGCGAAGTAGCGGTAACTGGGTCGAACTACCTCGCTGGCAGTCGCCTGAGTCTTCAACGGTCCACGTCAACGCCATCACGATGAAACGGGCTGTCGCCGCTGGAGCTAACGTGTACGCGGTGGATATCACAATAGTGGAAGAAGCAGATCAAATGCGCGATTTTCAGAAACTACTGGCGGCAGTACCATCGGAGTTACGGGAACTGTTGAAACGGTTCCCGGGGATCTTTCCCGATGATTTACCGGAGGGTCTGCCACCTCAGCGGGCGCACGATCACCGAATAGAACTAGAACCCGGGGCACAGCCAACCGTACAGCGACAGTTCAGAGTGACACAGCCCGAGCTCGACGAGTTAAGGAAGCAGTTAGATTACCTGTTAGAGAAGAAATTCATCCGACCGAGCTCGTCCCCATTCGCCGCGCCGATCCTGTTCACACCGAAAAGGGACGGAGGATTTCGCATGTGCATCGACTACAAAGCACTGAACAGGGTTACAGTCAAATCACGATACCCCATCCCCCGCGCCGACGAACTGATAGATCAACTGCGAACAGCACGGGTTTTTTCGAAAATTGATGTACGGGGAGGTTACCACCAGATTCGGGTCGAACCATCAGACTGTGCCAAGACAGCATTTAGGACTAGGTATGGGTCGTTTGAATATACAGTGATGCCTTTAGGCTGACCAACGCGCCGGCGACTTTCCAGATGACAATGAACGAGGCGATTAGACCACTCTTAGATAAATGTGTGATCATCTACCTCGACGACATTCTAGTCTACAGTCGGGATAAGCAGCAGCACTTAGCCGATTTAGAAGCAGTATTTACAGTTTTAGACAAACACAGACTACTGACCAAGGGTTCCAGGTGCGAGTATTTCCAAGATATGCTAGAGTTTTGGGGGCACGTTATTTCCGAGGCTGGAGTCGAAATCGACCCGAAGAAACTGGACACTGTAAAAGCGTGGAATCCCCCTACGAACATCATGGAGCTTCATAGTTTCTTAGGGTTCGTTAATTACGTGTTTCGATTCGTCCCCGACATGGCACGCTTAACTGCCCCGCTGACGGACTTACTACGGAAGGGGGTCACTTTTACGTGGGGGGAGAAAGAGCATGTTGCCTTCTCTACCCTGAAAACTGTTCTCTGTTCACCGCCCGTACTGCGCATCGCCGACCCACACCGCCCATTCGAAGTGGTTACCGACGCAAGCGACATCGCCATTGGACCCGTACTTCTACAGGATTTCGGCAATGGTTTACAGCCCGTTGCATAAGAATCACGAAAGTTGCATCCGCCCGAGAAATATTACCCGATACACGATCATGAAATGCTTGCGATCGTGCATGCATTCAAAGTGTGGCGCTGTTACTTGACCGGCGCCGACGTGACAGTACGGACATACCACAAATCTCTACAGTACCTCCGCGCACAACCCCACCTCAACCCACGACAAATCCGCTGGCTCGACTACCTCGAGTCGAATTTTCACTACACGGTCACCTACAAAAAGGGGGTATCGAACATCGCCGACGCATTAACCTGGCCCACAGCCCAAGTCCACGCCATACTACTCGCCCAGACCAGCCCACTGCTGACAGGCCTATTTACCCACGGTTATCAGACTGACCCATTTTTTACAGGCGGAAATTCGCAGCTGTTTGCAGCAGCAAGGGGAGTCTATTACGTAAAAGCTGGCACCGATCGAATCTGGGTACCGGGCTACACACTTCTACGGGAATGACTAATACAAGAGGCACACGACGACGTCACCTCAGGCCATTTCGGAGTAGAAAAAACACGGCACCAGCTGCAGCGGTACTACTACTGGCCCAAATATGTTGACCGACGTGCAACGACACGTGGCATCGTGCCCCACCTGCCAAGTCATGAAATCATCACGGAAGCGACCGGCAGGGCAGTTGCAGCCGATACCACCCCCAGAGCGTGCTTGGCAGCAGGTGACAATGGACTTCGTCACGGGGTTACCGGCCGGAGCAAGTGGGAACGACGCGATCCTGGTCGTCGTCGATCGATTGACAAAAATGGCACATTTCGCAACATGCAAAAAATCAATCACAGCCGAAGAAACGGCCCGCCTCTTCATCGCAACCATTGTTCAATTACACGGGATACCAGCAGCAATCATCAGCAACCGCGATACGAAATTCACCAGCAATTTCTGGCGGAACCTGTGGCAGCAGTTCGGCTCGAGGCTACAGTTCAGTTCTTCGTACCACCCCGAAACCGACGGATAGACAGAACGGACAAATCAGACCATGGAATAGTTAATCCGAGCCACGTGCAACGACCCCACCACCTGGGAACAGCAACTGCCACTTATCGAATTCGCGTACAACAACTCGCCATCCGCCACGACCCAACAATCACCATTCTACCTGAACTACGGACAAGACCCTACAGTACCCATGACCCCGAATCCCGACAACCCGGTGCCACGGGCACAACAATTCGCAGAAATTTTACAGGCAGCACGAACCAGGGCAGCAGACGCAATAAAGAAAGCCAACGTCATCGCTAAGCGCAACGCCGACCGCCACCGCAGACCCGTCACTTACCAGCCCGACGACTTAGTTCTACTCGACACCCAAAACCTCCGCCTGCCCATAACTCCGAAACTTCGCCCCCGATATTGCGGGCCATTCCGCATAAGCCACATGATCACACCTGTCACCGCCCACCTCCTCCTCCCTGCTAACTGGTACGTCAGCCCGTCCTTCCACGTCAGCCTGCTTTGCCCCTACATTCCATCCACCAGCCAACTGGCACGAAATCGCCCAGCCAGCATGACACGACCACCGACCGAGCCAGTCATCACATCCGAGAAGATTCTGAGCCACCGAGTTCGTGACCCACGAGGAGCTCGAAGGGTCGAATTTCTAATCCGCTGGAGAGACCGCACGCCCACCGAGGACAATTGGGTTCCACGAGTACCTGCGCAGGACAATTTGACAAAATTGAAAACCACCCCGTCCTCAACGAGTACCTGCGCAGCCGAAATTTCCGGGATATACACGCGCTCTCGTAAAGAGAGGACTCCTTGAGGGGGGGGGGGTAGTGTAAGGAGAACTCATTTTCCTTACTTCGCGTCCCTACTCTGCGCGTACACCACTGTTCCCGCCAACAGCACCCCACAATATTCCGTTACCACTCGCGACATTCGCATCGACACCATTCCCGCCACTGTTCACGATGCGACCCAACCTCGGGGTTAGGTTGGTAACCCGCGCTCCGGACCTCCGCCTCGACAGTCCCCAACCTCGGCACCGGCCCGTCGCGCACCCCAATTTCCCACGTTACCGTTACCACCGTAGCTTCGCTATATATTCTTCGCTCAATCCTTCGCTCATTGTATTCTTGTCTCGATAGTGCAATCCTCGCTCGCTCACTCCATTGCACTCGTAACAGATGTGAACTAGACAAACAGCAGAAAGTTCCCTGCTACTTGTGCTTGCACCTGCACATCACGTGCATTATGTGTACTTTAGGAACACTTGCCAATGGAGACTGCTGTTCTATTTTGTGATCTGTTAGGGATGGTCACATACGATGCAGTTGAGCACAGAAAATACATAATCCATGCTAGTGGAGTCGGTTTTAACCTATTTAATATGCATAATAGAAAGGTACCTACGGTAATACCGATATGCCCCTACGCACTCACACCCACATTTGCACGAGGACCATCTCCCATCCACACCTTAATCTTCCTTCCACGCCCCTTGGTGTGTGTATCCCCATCCAATAAAGATGCCCAAAACTTGTGCAATCCACTCTTCTTGCTGGTACCACCACTCCTGCTGCTGCTGTTCTTGCTGCTGATATTTTCATTGCTACTGCTGCCGCTGCTGCCCTTGCTGCAGTCGCTGCTGATGCTGTTTGAGCTCTTATGCGCAATCATGTTGGAGGAGGCTTCAGAGGAAGCTTCTTCCAGAGGAGCAACCAGATGCCACTCTGATGGCCCAGGTGAAAACTCAGGCAGGAAAAGCGTGGATGCTTTGAAGGTCCTGCCGGTGCCTGCTGTCCTGCTGTCTACAGATGACATGACCCGAGAGCTGATGTCACGACCTGGCGTGGCAAATGCCTGGTGCTGACTTGGCATGTGCTGACGAGGATGCTGCTGCTGCAGCTGCTCCTGCAGAACCATTTTTGGAGCAATAAACCTAGCGCTGCCTCCAAAGTTGGGATGGCGAGAGCTGTAACCGGCCGTACCAGCCGGCGTAGGGTTACCACCACCAAAGACTCTGTTACTCGCCCCAATGATTTCTACACCCGTGACCTCTTCCTCTGCATCAATGAATTTCGCACTGTAGATGCCACTGCTGCCCCCCAGATCGGCCCCATCCATGTGACTGTAAAGAACGCCCGGTTGATACTGCACCCCGCTGTGTTCTGGCACAGCAAATTTCGTTAAGGGAACGCCACTGGGATGAACCAGCATTCCGGGAGAGGAGGAAGAGTGGTGAAATGAGGCCTGGTGAATGGGCGCCAGGGGCAGTCTAGGAGAGGACGAGGATTGGTGCAGTGGGGCTAAGGGCATGCCCGGGGAAGAGGAAGAGTTGTGAATCGGATCAAAGGGGGCACCCGGAGAGGAGGAGTAGGAGGAGGACTGGCCATGGGGTACACCAGGGGAGGAAGAGGCATGGTGGTGAGGGATGGGGAGCGGTGAAGATGTGAGCTGGGAGTGGTGAATCTGCTGCTGCGGGTTCGGCCTGAGCGCGAACTCCTTGCTATGGCGTCTGGGCGCCTGGCGGGACTTCAGAGGGGAGGCGGAGGCGGAGGCAGAGGCGGAGGGGGAGGGGGAGGAGCGGGGGGAAGAGTGGGGGCGGGAGGAGAACCCGAGGTGGTTAAGGAGAGAGGATGAGAGGGACCGGAGCGTGGGGTGGTGCTTGTGCTGCTGCGAGTTGGTGGAAACACCTGAGAAGGAGGAGTGGGACGAGAGCTTGTGGTGAAGATCCCCTGCTGTCGCGGCTGCAGCAGCAGAAGCGGAAGGGACGGCAGGAGGCAGAGGGAACGCAGCTGTAGAAGCAGAAGTAGCAGCAGCGCCAGCAGTAGCGTGTGGGTTATGCGTGTCGGGCGCGTGGTGGGCACGTGGCTGGTTCAGGACGAGGTGCTCTGGCAGCCCGTGCGTGAGGTCGAGCTCCTCGATGCGGATGTTGGCCTGGTCCAGCCACGCGCACGACGCCTCCAGCTGTGCGGGGAGGGGGTGTGAAGAGGAGATGGATAAAGACGGTGGTTACAGACGGTGCCTCTAGGCAGGCCGTGAGTGAGGTCGAGCTCCTCGATGCGGATGTTGGCTTGGTTCAGCCACGCACACGACGCTTCGAGCTCTGCGGGGGTGATGATATGGAAAAACGAGGATACGGATAAATGAAGTGCTTCGAAACGAAGCTCGAAGCTCCTCGATGCGGATGTTGCCTCGGCGCATGACGCTTTCAGTCCTGCCACCAGGATCTGGGACAAAAGGAGGAAGAGTGGAAACGACGGATAGGGAACGAACGGGAAGAGTGATGTCGAGCTCTGAATGGGTGGTCGGGGGTTCAACCGGTTGGGGGATGCAGGAGGCAGCATTGGCAAGGACGGACATGAGAGGGAACGAGAAAGGAACGAATGTTGGTTTTAGTAGAAAATGACTGGACACGACGTAAGATGCTCCTCGATGCGCACGTTTGCCTGCGCTGATCACGAGCGGTTGCCTCGGAACCCCGCGGAGGAAAGGTCCCGCTAGTAGGAGCATCACCAGGTGCACCTTTATGAGAATTTCTGGGTAATGTCCCAGGCGAATCCTCAGGCGCCATGGCGCGCACCTATTCCTCGGTTTGACTTTCGAAAGGGCTCGAGATGCGCTCGAGATTATCTTATGCGCACGAAGTAGTGGCATCTCCAGCTAAGATTCACAGGTCTAGCCGCAAGTCGTCGTTCACGGCGTCATTTGCGGCGTCTTTCACGCCGTGTGTCACAGCACGCACCGGTCCAGCGGTTCGACTTGGGAAGCGACTCGAGGTACGCGTCGAGGTCCTCCTCCGCGCACGCCGCGTAGTCATACTCGTTACAAGCCTCCCCGTTCTCGTGATCCTCTGGCAGCAGCGTCAGCGGCTGGAAGCGGCAGTCCTGGGAAGCTCCGCCTTCTGCGACAGTGCTCGCCCCTGGGAACAGTTTGCGGAGGGGGGAAAGGGGAGGAGGGGGGGGATTAGGATTGAACGGGGAAAAAGGAATATATAAAGATCAGAAACCGTTCCTAAATGCAGGAGGAAAACAGGTGGGGAGGGGAGAGGAGGGAAGGCCATTCCCCTCTTCCTTCACCTCTTCAGGAACGAATCAGTTCCCCAAAAATGAAAAGCCCGAGCGATTGATAGAGCTCGTGCAATGTATTTTACGACACTCCAGTACCTCATGTTCAGAACGGGCGGTTCTTTACTTCGAGTGACAGAATCGTATGCGTATGTGGGACCGATTAAAACTCGTCGTACAGAGAGAAGAGCCGCGCGGCGCGCACATTGGACGGAATAAAAGTGGCGTGACGTTATAAAAGTGGCTTGACGCTCACATTGGTCGATGTCTTTGCGCTCCGGGCACCAGCTGGTGTAGCGAGTGGAGTGGAAGTCGGCGACTGTTGTCATGGTGGCCGGCGACGATGGATGACGACCACTTGCGACGCGTGCGACGGTTATGCTTTACGACAATTGTAAATCCACACAGACTTCGCAGACGACGCGACTGGAACCAAGGCGAGGTGCTAACAAGCCTCCCAACGGAGCAGCTAGGACAGCGCGTTAAAGCTGCGTAAAGCACTGGGAGCAGAAAGCTTCAGGGCACTTCGAATGTGAGAGAAACCCCTGTAGAAATGACGAGTGTGCAAGTCGAGACTGAAATACTGAATCCAAACAAGCCATTCCACACGGAGTGGGGTAGAGCGGAGTGCGGTTTTGTGCGTTCAAAAAGAGTGGAAAAGAGTGGTGTGGGCTGGAACGAACCAAGCGAAGCCGCCAGAAGGTTGGAGGGGAAGTGTGGGGAAAGTGAAAGTGATCAGCTCGATTGCTGGAAAGCGGACTTTGCTGCATCAGCGGCTCCAAGATTGCTGCAAACCTACAGTGAGCTTGGACAGTAACCCGTCCAACACAAGTGAGGAAAAGTCTTTACGTTCGGCTCGGAACGGCGCGGACTAACAAAACCAGGCGCGCCAAACCGAGTCCAGGCAGGACCTGGCTGGGTAAGCGCCTGGCTTTGGAAAGCCGAACCTACAAGGCTCGCTCGTGCCCCTCGTGAAGTTGTTGGTCAGGAAACTTTCACGCGGTTAGGGCTGCTGAAGCTTCGGCGTGGGCCAGGCCACACCTGCAATGAACCACCGACCGGAACTGCATGAACGTGCGGGCAGCATTTCAAAACAGGTATCTCCGAGATTCTGGGCAACGCTACTGTACACCCAGTGATGCAATCAGCAGATTATCGAAGCTTCGCCAGGCCTCTGCTGTACTGTAACAGGGTGGAACCACAAAACGTCGCATGGGGGAAATTTGACAAACGAGCGCTGATTGGCAAAAACGAATAATTGACGACACATTTACTGGCTAGGCTACCTGGACGGAAGTCCATTGGCTATAAATCAGCCGCCAATGCTGCCAAGTAGCATGAAATATCACACCAGCAGTGGTCTGCCGTACGGGATAGAGGGAGGCATAAAAACACTCGCAAGAAGGAATTCTCAATGTTTGAGATGTGGCACAAATACGGACAGATATACACATTGGTTAAATTTAACGCTTTTAGGAGTTCTGTCACCAATTTGCTTCCATTGAACTCATAACATTAGTATTTACATCCTCTTACACCTCTTGGTATCTCGGCTAGCCTCCACATTCTAAACCCTTCTGTTTAGTCAACTGCACGCAGCATCCTCTGCCAACCGCTGCGACAGCTCGTCAAACTGCAAGTACACATCCTCCAGCAACTGCCTCCTTTTTAGCCACTTGGCATCTTTGCCATTACCCATTAGCACATACACACCCTGCCATCAACTCTCTCGCAATCTCCTCAAACTGCACGCAAGCAGCACCCTCTGTCAGCTTGATTCCACGCAACTCATCACTTGCCCTGTCTACCTCCTCTTGCGCCTCTTCCCCTCCTAGGCATGGCCAGCCCCCGTCACAGTCTCAGCCATCAACTCTCTCGCAATCTACTCCAATGCACGAAAGCATCCTCCTGAGCCTGGCCAGCCCCTCGAATCTCGAGTAAGCATCATCCAGCAACTCCTGAGTGAGCTCATCAAACTGAACGCAAGCATTCCTCACTACCTCCTCTACCGCCTCTTGGCACCTTGGCCATTACCCGTTACACCACTAGCCGTCGCACACTCCTCCATTAGCTCTCTCGCGATCTCCTCAAACTGAGCAGAAGCATCTTCTGCCAGTCGCTGTGAAAGCTCCTCAAACTGCGAGTAAGCATCTGCTAACAACTCCCGAGTGAGCTCATCAAACTGAAGGCACGCATTTCTCACAGCCGCACCCATGGCAGCAGTTAATCTTTCACCCACCCTGTCGCCCAACCTCTTGCCCAACCTCTCGCCCAACCTCCCACCTAACCTCTTGCCCGAAACCCCTGCACTCGAACCCTTTCTACCTCCTGCGAACCTCTCTGTTCCTCTCCTTGATGATCTTACCTCATTCCGCTCCCGCTGCTCCCTCCCATGCATCCCACCAGCCCTACCACGTAGTGAGATTCCCCCAGCAGTCAAACCACCCGTTGCTGCTGCTGCCCCTTGCCTGTGGGCTGTTGCGTGCTCATAACTTGCTGGCTGGAAATATGTAGCAGGCAGGGGGGAAGTAGCTGGAAAGGGGGCTGCAGCATGCAGGGGGGCTGTTGAAGGCAAGGAGGCTGTAGCAGGCAAGGAAATTGTAGCAGGCAGGGGGGCTGTAGCGCCGGCAGCAAGCGTAACCCTGTTGTTACCGGGCAGGCGCAGAAGGTTGTTGTCAAATCCCCCATAATTTCGCCTGAAGTCAAATATCGGGTCTGTAGAGGTGGGAACAGCGGTGACTTTGTTGCGCAGGCACTGCAGGTAGTTGTCAGAGGGTTGCCTCGAGTCAGAGGGTTGCCTCGAGTCAGAGGGTTGCCCCTCAGCAGGTGCAAAGGGAGAGGCAGTGGCCGGCGCTGCTGCTGTTAAAAGGAGAGGCGTGGATTGCGAAGGTAACGGTAGTAGCAGTGATGGCAATGGAAATGGAAATGGTAACGGTAACAGTGGGGGTAATGGCAATGGTGGTGGTAACGGTAATGATGATGGGGAGGGCCCACTGTTTCCCCGCTGCTTTTGTTGCTGCTGCTGCGGCTGCTGGTGCTGCTGCTCTTGCTGTCCCTGATGCTGTTGCTGCCCCCGTTGCTGCTGCTGCTGCTGCTGCTGCTGCTGCTGCTGCTGCTGCTGCTGCTGCTGCTGCTGCTGCTGCTGCTGCTGCTGCTGCTGCTGCCGCTGTCGGTGCTGCTGCTGCTGCAGCTGCTGCTGCCGCCGCTGCCCACCAGTCTCTCCCCACCCTAAACCAATGCTCTCAGGAAACGCATACGCTGGCATTTCAGCAGGCTAATTCATTGCAGTTAAGGCCGTCGCGACAACAGCTGCTGCTGACGCTCTTGCTGCTCTTCTAGTCCTTTTCACAGCAACGTCTTTCCTCGCCTGCAGCTCAGTCCGATAGAACATGCGAATGTACTCAAACCATGCTGGTGGTTTCGACCCATTCCTCTCGAATGTGCTCTCCTCTGCTATGGCCCGCTCATCCGCGTTAGTAGACCCTCCCTGCCGCTGCTGAACCGAGGCCCCCGCCTGCTGCTCCGCGCTCCCTGCCTGCTGTTCCGCGCTCTCCGCCTGCTGTCCCAAAGCGCCCCCTGCCCGCTGCTCTGCGCCCCCCGTCTGCTGTCTCGCGCCACCTCTCTGCTCCGCGCCCCACGCCAGCTGCTCCGCGCCCGTCGTCCCATTTGCGGGGCACCGCCCCGTCCCCCGCCGCCGCCGCCGCTTCCGCCGCGGGACGAGCGTCTCCGCGTCGTATCGCCATTTCATGCGCTTCCGCTGCTGCGACATCGCCGTCGGGATGCGCCGCCATCCGGGATTCCCCCGCCGGATCACGCGCCACACCTGCCGCCAGTAAGCGTTCCCCCTGCTGCCTCTCCGCCGCGTGACTTCCCCGCTGTGCCGGCAGAAAACGACAGCCGCTGCGAGCTCCATCAGTTCCGCGTTGCTCCACTGCCGCATCTTCCGCGCCGCGAGCTCCGTTAATCCCTCCCCTTCCGTTTCGCCTGCCTGGATTTCGTGCCATGGGACTCCGAAACCCCGTTCCCCCACGCGACCCGCCTCGGCCTCTGCATCGGTTTCCCACTCTCGATCCGTTTCTCCGTCTCGAAACCTGTCGTCTGTTAAGTCAAACGGCCTTCCTAGAAGCCCTCTGTGGTACTCGTCGATATCGTACGAGTCGCCCGACTCGCCGTCGTTTTCGGCGTCGCTTTCGCCATCGTCGCCGCCGTCGCCGTAGTCGTCGGCGAAGTCGTCGCTGAAGTCGTCGTTACCGTCGGCATCGCAGCGGGTAAAGGCGGCAGCGTGCTGCTCCTTGATCCACCGAATAAGCGGCGGGTCGGGTGTTGGAATCGACGCCTGACCGACTTCCGCGCTGGTCTGGCCTGGTATGCCGCTAGCTGCTCGCTTTCTGGAAGACATAAACTGGTTCAGGAAAGTTCAATTTGCCCAGGCGAGACGGAAACTGAACTACCCCACTGAAGGAGTTACGAATTCCTGATGTGGAGAAAATACCTCTAACAACCAGGGACAACCATCAACCATGTGTTAAATATAAATCCTCCCTGACAATATATATAAAATCAAGATACAAGGCTCCCAAGATTAAGCTAATCCCACCAAGGGATAAACTAGCCTTGATAATACTCTTGAATCTTGAGGAGAAAGAGAGCTTGAAGAAGGTTGATGGAGCTTTAGCAAGTAGGTAGGTAGTTTCTTGTAGAGCTTGTCCTTGACGTAAACACAATTCTAGTCGTGTAGGAGAGCTTGTTAGGAGAACCAAAAATGACTTAGACAAATCTCATTTCCAAATTGGTAAGTTGGAGTTGGGAAGTGGGAATGAGCCTCCAAGCTTCAACCCCTTCTACAATACCCCTTAGGGCTCTTCCCAACCATGGCTTCCATGGTTGGGGAGCTTCTAGGCTTGGAGCCTATGTGGCATCTTTATTTGGTTGGGAAAACCCAACTTAATTGTGTTGTATGGTTGCTAGGTTCTTTGTATGGATTGTAACAATATTTGGCACAATGTGATTGGTTGGAAATCCAACCTTTCCAATCTTTACTTAGATGGGTTGGACGTTTCCAAGCCTCAAGGTTGAGGGTTGGAAATCCCAAACAAATCTTCCTCTCCAACTCAACCTTCCCGATTGCCTTCACGTCACTTCTCATCGAGCACTCTCTCGATGTTGACATAGGAAATCTGCGGTAGTTAGGTAGAGTAGGCATTACACTCCTCCCCCCCTAGGTGGCAACGTCCCCGTTGCCTTAGGGTGCTTCTGAGGACGAGCGCTTCGAGCACGCCGTGTCACATTACGACCAGGGTCAACACTGTTGGAAACAAGTGATTTATAACGCTTCTGCAGTATCGAAGCTTCGACACAAAAACGGAACTGACTACAGCGAAACACTCAAGTCAACCAAGGCAACCGTCGGAGGTTGCGCGAAATCAAAAGACCTTTGACCTGACGAAACGTACAGTGCGACAGCAAGGAGACATAACTGACTCGTTACGGAGCAGTTACCCGAGTCGGCACTGTATCGAACCGCAACAGCAAAAACAATTAAAATAGAACTTTCATATTCCTTTGTAATCATATAAAAGCCTTCTACTTCCCTGCTATTATCAACTTATCTTGTTCTCACACACTAGTACAAGGTGGTTCAAGCAACTCTGATGTTACAACGCTTCCGCTATTACCTACATCTCTACGTCAACACCCGATCTTAGTCCTGAAAATTCCTAAGGGCTTTTCTCAGCCCAACAAACACCTTCCACTGGCGGTGCGGCAGCTCGTCGGGCCAGATCTTGTCAAACTAACGAACGAGAATGGATGAACTATCAAAGAGTTGGGTACAAGTACTAACCATAATTGGGTTGTACCCCTTGGGCTACTACCCCACTATACCCTACACAACTGTAAGCACTATAACATTCTAACACACCCCCATAGGCAAAGTGGGGGAGAACAAGTGGTCACAAGACCAGTCAAGAAAAGCAAAGCAAGCTCAGGGTGGATCACAAAGTCACAACACAGTCCGAGCACAAGCAAAGGGCGACAAGGCCAGTTCACATGCAGAGTTATATAAAAGAGAACAAATAATATCGTGATCATACCTTAGCAAGTGTAAGCATGCAGGTATCTATATAGATCACAATACAAGCAAAGTCACGCAGAGAGCAAGTGAGGCAAAGTAGGCACAAGGCCTAACACAGTAGAGAAGTGCTGATGATCACCAGGCTGAAGTGCCTTGGTGAATATATCAGCAGTGTTGGCCCTAGTGGCCACATACGCAAGACGAAGCTGGCCACGCTGCTGCAACTTGTTAGAATGTGAGCGAATGAATGACTGAACTAGAAAGCAGTTGGGTACATATAGGAAACCTAAAAGTGTTGTACCCTGTAAGGACTACCCCACTACAGCCTAAACAGACTATAGCATATAAGTTTGACACAACTCTCCAGCGATGTGCTTCATTCTGTGCTCCAGTCTGTGCTCCTGACACAAGGCAATCATGGCCTTGTTGTCTACGTACAGAACTGGAGGCGAACGAGGCTGCTCGCCCAAGTCAGTCAGCAGGTAGGTGAGCCAGCGTAGCTCCTGAGCAGCCATGGCCCCGGCGTAGATCTCAGCCTCACAACTGGAGCTGAGAACCGAAGACGAGCGGGTAGACCGCCAGGAAACAGAGCCGAAACCGAGGCTGAAGGTGTATGTTACAATTTGGAACGAATGAATGACTGAACTAGAAAGCAGGAGGGTACAAGTAGGAAACCTAAAAGTGTTGTACCCTATGAGAACTACCCCACTACAGCCTAAACAGACTATAGCATATATGTTTGACACACCCCCATAGGCAAAGTGGGGGAGAACAAGAGGTCACAAGACCAGTCAAGAAAGGCAAAGCAAGCTCAGGGTGGATCACAAAGTCACCACGCAGTCTGAGCACAAGCAAATGGCCACAAGGCCAGTTCACATGCAGAGTTATATAAAAGAGAACAAAGAATACAGTGAACACAACCTAGCAAGTGTAAGCATGCAGGTATATGTATAGAGTATAGTACAAGCAGAGTCAAGAAGTAAGCAAGTGAGGCAAAGTAGGTACAAGGCCTAGAACAGTACAGAAACGCTGATGATCACAAGGCTGAAGTGCCTTGGTGAAAACATCAGCAGTGTTGGCCTGAGAGGCCAAGTAAGCAAGACGAAGCTGGCCACGCTGCTGCAACTCTCGAGCAAGGAAGTAGCGCAGAGCAATGTGCTTCGTTCTGTGCTCCAATCTGTGCTCCTGACACAAGGCAAGCATTGCCTTGTTGTCGACGTACAGAACTGGAGGAGAACGAGGCGCCTCTCCCAAGTCGGTCAGCAGGTAGGTGAGCCAGCGTAACTCCTGTGCAGCCATGGCCCCAGCGTAGATCTCAGCCTCACAACTGGAGCTGAGAACAGAAGAAGAGCGGGTAGACCGCCAAGAGACAGAACCGGAACCAAGACTGAAGGTGTAACCCTGTGACGACCGCTGCGTAGCCAATTCGTCAACCCACGAAGCGTCTGCGTGACCAGTGAGGACGACTCGAGCCCGTCCTCCAAGCACAAGCCCCATGCCCGACGTACTGCACAAGTAGCGCAACACCCTCTTCGCAACATCCCAATGCACCTTTCGGTGCCTGCCGGGAGCCACGTAGCGAGCCAGAAGGCTGAGAGGGTATGCGAGGTCAGGTCGTGTGCAAGTCATCAGGTACATGAGGCAGCCCACAAGCTCTGGATACGGGCCACTCGGCTCTACGGACTCGTCTGAAGGTGGAGCTGAGAGCGAGTGACTGGTAGGCAGAGGAGTGGACTGTGGCGAGGAGTACGTGAAGCCGAAGCGCTGAAGGACCTGCTGCACCATGTGTGACTGAGTCAAGGTAATGGTGCACTGTGCTCTGTCCCGGGTGATCCGCAAGCCAAGATAACTTGTTAGTTCACCCAGGTCTGTGCACGTGTGTCTCTTCTGCAGATCGGACTTCACGTGGGCGAGTGCCTCAGTGTCAGCAGTAGCAAAGACCAAGTCGTCCACGTTCACGAGAACGTAGAACGGCCGCAGAGTGGTGTCAGTACGTAAAAATAGCGATGGGTCACCAGTGGAAAGAGCAAAACCAAGAGCAGCAAGAGTCGTCCTCAGTGTGTCGTGCCACTCACGGGGTTCCTGGCGGGGACCGTAGACTGGCCGCCGGAGGCTCCACTGGGTACCAGCAGGAAACGACCCAGTGAAGCTAGGTGGGCGGCGCAGCCAGATCTCCTCGTGCAGGCTGCCCTGTAGGAAGGCTGTGCTGAAGTCAAGCGAGTGGAGCTCGTAGTCACGGTGAGCGGCGACGTGCAGCAGTACCCGAAGAGTGGTCATCTTTGGGGTAGGGGAGAAGGTCTGAAAGTCAACTCCCTGTCGCTGACTGAAGCCACATGCAACGTAACGCGCCTTGAAGACAGGCGGAGAACTCGGCGGCCGCTTCACCCTGAAGATCCACATGCCACTGACGATGTTCGCCCCAGGCGGGGGAACCTCGTCGACGTAGGTGCCTGTGGACTTCCAGGAAGCCATCTCGGCGTCCATGGCTGCCTGCCACTGAGAGGAGTAGGGACCCTCTATCGCCTCTGCGTAAGAGCGCGGGGTCGGGATGTCTGGTGCATCCGGGTCTCCCTCAGGGGCAAGCAGCATGGACACGAGATGAGGTACAGCAGCGGCAAAGCACTCAAACTCCTCCTGTCTATCCTCAAGAACGTCCGTGCCAAGAGCACACTCACCCCCGACGGACGGAGGACAGACAGACGCAGACTCAGACTCAGCAACAAGACTAGTGGCAAAGTCTAGCGATAGGCTGCAGCAAAGTCAACAAGCTCAGCAACGAGAGCACACGCAGCAGTGGACTGAAACAAAGAGTCAGTGACAGCAGTGGCCAGAAAGCGCGT